ATGTTCGGTCCTTGTTAATTGTATATAATCATTGTGTATAGTCATTGTATATATTTTTGTAATATTAAGAAGACGTGCTGTAAGTTAAGTTTTATATTTATATTAGTTTACGATAGTTGTTAGTTTGTACAAATTTTTATTATCACTTTGAAGATATTTATTCATAGGCACGCCTGGGAATTTCTTTGAACTGGACATCAACAAACAGGGATGGTTCGCAAATGTACAATTACCTACTTTCACAAACTTTTGCAATCACCCGCTGTGTCGGCATCTTCTAATTCAAATTCAATATTTTTCAGAACCGAATGGGCGTTACCATCTCTGTTTGTCGAAGGGCGTACCTACCCCTCTATATGTATATATTAATTGTACCAATTCATAAACGAGAGGACAAGTATTTCAACCTTTGTACCAAGAACTCGTAACTTGAACATTTCAGTGACCATTTTTTGCAACTTGTATTTTTTCTGTACTTGTTTTAATTAAAACATAGCTCACGGTGTTGATGTGTTTATTTTGAAACACCAACACCGAAACACATATAGTATGTAACTTGAAACGAAAATTTTTTTGAATAGACGATAGAAGCGGCCAAAGACCGTATAACGTTCCTTAATGCATCAACCGTTGGTGGTACGTATAAACTGTACTGCGGTTTTCACGGGTCATTTATTCGAAAAAGCCAAATGCAGTTCACACACGACAGCGACGGGATAAGTTTCAGACAACGCATCTTCTTTCAGATAACTAAATGGAACTGAACGAGTTAATTGCCGTATGAAGCCAGCACAACAAACACGTCAACCAACGTCCCTGCTCCGACACAAATCCTTTTATATACCTTCTTAATTGTTTTTTCTTCTGATACAGCTTGGGCCCTTTATAAGTAACACAACTAATTTATTTTGTAATCTAGCTCTTAATTAAGTTGACCTTCTTTCATGATTTATGTATTTAACTATTGAAATAGTTTGTAGTTAATTACCGAGGTGTTCACTCATTCAAGGTAATAAATTTTCCAATTTTTCAGTGATTTTTCCCGTTTGAAAACTATTGTAAAATGTTCTGACATTAAAAAAAATAATTTCAAAATTATTTTAAAAAAAGGCAGTAAAAATTTTTTTTCATAATTAATTTAAATTTCAACAAAATACGAAGATATTAGATCTACTTTACTTTTACCTAATCGCAAAAAATGCACACGGGAATTTAGTGCCTTTTAAGCTTCATTCGTTACATTAACATTACTTGTGGTTGTGGGTGAAAATTCTGGTAGGTAAGTTGACTCGATAATTTTGGAATTTAAAAGAAAGAAAAGAAGCGCCAAAATGTGCCCGAAATGTGTTACGTAAAAAAATAATAAATTCAAAAAACTCAACTTTTGTGATTAGGTCATTTTTATGACGTTTAATTAGCTCCACAACATCACTTCATTAAAACGAAATCAATTGTACCGTAATGTGCTCAAGATGTGCTGAGTATGTGCCATTAAAAAAAAAATATTTACTTGAAAAATTTTTATTCAGAGATCCTTTTTGAGATGTTTAGTTAGCTCTCCAAAATCACTTTATCAAAACTAAACAATAGCTGTAATGTACTCGCAATGTGGTGTTGTGTGCCAATGTGAAAAGAAAAAATATGTATCTGATTATAAATTTTCAATTTCTCTTAAAAAATATTAAGTCTTCATTAACACTTTCTCTGCGTATCGATAAGTGTGCTGCGATAAAATAGCATAAAAATACTATGCTACAAACCATTTTAAATTATTAAATATTCTGCAAGGAAAATCTACAATTGTCGGATAGTAAATGTGGAGATTATTAATTGAAAACTGTAGAATCGTCTGTTTCGCGTATCAAATACCAAAGCAACCGATTAAATCTAAATTTTTTATTCAAATTTTTTTTTTACTCTGGCACAGAACAGCATTTGCAGGTACATTACAGCACAATATGTTTAGTTTTGATAAAGTGGTTTTGCGGAGCTAACTAAACATCACAAAAAGGATGTTTCAATAAAAATTCAATTTTTCAAGTAAATATTTTTTTTAATGGTACATAATAGCACATCTTGAGCACATTACTGCACAATTGGTTCGGATTTAATGAAGGGATATTGTGGATCTAACTAAACATAATAAAAACGACCTAGTCATAAAAGTTAAGTTTTTAAATTTATTTTTTTTTACGTAGCATAGCACATTTTGACACATTTTTTTTTCTTTCAAATTTCAAAATTGTCGAGTCAACTTCTTGGGCATAGCTAAATTCCTTAATCTCCTAAAGAAATAAAATTTAAAAAAATGGAGTTTTTAATTTCACATTTCGGTTGTAATCATCGTAATCTACCCAGTAGTGACTTGTGTTTTTAAAAATAAGTGAACGATTGAGAGTTGCAAAAAAACAGGACTTTTTTACATACTTTTACCTCGTCCTCGAAAATATACCATCAGAGTGTATTCTATTTCCTCAAATATTGTTGGATATTTTATTTGCAATGAGTATTTAATAAGTATTAATTAATTACGAATAAAATAAAAACACTAGGAGTTTAAAAATAATTTATTATAACCACTGAAGAAGGCACAGTGTCAAAATAATTAGTGGTTATAATAAATTATTTCCAAACTCCAAGTGTTCTTATTTTATTTTTAAATATGGAGTTACATTACTCCATAGATTCAATTATTAATTACGATTAGTGAACGTCATTTAAAAGAACAATATTTCACACAAAAAAAATGGCGACATATTACTTGATACAATTCAAAAAGTATTACAAAACATGAACATTTCGTTCAAACAAATAAATCTTATCAATGAAAAGTTATTTTTAAACCGGATTATCAAATCGTGGAGGGCAGAGGGTATTAAAGTTCGTTCAAATAAATGAGCCAGCTTTTCATACATGTAATGTATCGCAATTGCAAAACTTCATTAATCGTGTTGGTATGTACATTCGATTCTTCTACGCATATTTTTCATATTATATGTAGGTACCCGACACAACATGCACACAGACAAACTTTAGGTACATCCTAAATTTATGTCAACACTGTTTACCTCTTATATAAAAATAATGTGATAAATGTGAATGTTTGATTACAAGTAAATGTTGACTAATAACGCAGGCACATATTCTTCGATTAAAGCTAAAATTGTACGATGCAATATAAAAAAAAACGGCGAGTCGGACTCACGCACCAAGGGTTCCATGCAAACTTGCAAGTATGTACAGCCCATTTCAATTTGTTTGAATTGTGACCTTGAAGAAATCTGCGCGAAGATAGAAAGAATACACACTAGGTGTGAGCAAGACAGAAATAGTTGGAACAAGCTTGAACGAGCAGAGCTCTCGATAAGCGGTTTTAGAAGATCGGCTAGAACTGTACAGTATTAGACAAAAATGTTTACCAATTTCTTAAAACAAAAATGTATATAAATTAACAATAGAAAACAAAGCAAAAGTTTTACAGGTGTGTAGAGCATTAAGTTAATTCACTTGTTATTATTTTTTGCTTTTAAATAAATAGTAAACCAAATAAATTCTCTGAGTCTGGTATCCTTAATTTTTTTATTAAGCAGGGCAGCAGGAAGAGCGTTGTGCACTGGTTCAGAAACCCGTAAAGCTCCCCCCGATAACCATTTGGTAGCACTATGTCGCAAATCATAGATATTTTTAGGTTCATTCAAAAAACAGTGATTTCTTAATAAGTAATTAAAAAGTTAGATGTTTAGTAATATAAATCTAGTTTTCAGAGAATGTATTTACATATAGTAATTAAGACTGTTATTGACAATTTAGTGTTATTATTTTCAAATTTTCATAAACTTTTAATTGGAACCGTAACTTCATTAAAACATGTTTAAAAGAAAATTAATCGATAACGTAGTTTTCATTAATCTACTTTGTCAATTTTGACAAGGTACTTAAAAAGAAATAATTAAAGAAAAGGATTATAAAGGAATCAATAACAAATAAAATTTCAAGTATCTCCCGAATAAACAAAAATAATTGAAACCATTACTGTAACGACATTTAAATGCACCTATGCAATAAAAAAAAAAATTAAGAATGATTTAGAAATCGATATAATTAAAACCCGCAATTGCCAAATAATTTAAGACAATAAGACCAGCAATCTGGGACGATTGGTGTCCAGGTGCTGCAGAACTTCCAAGAAAAAATGGATGTTTCTATTTTTGCGACTTAATTCCTAAAATTTATTAAAACAATAGTATATTGTATCTGTAGAGGTACACCACACTCTACACTTGACGCTAATGTGCCTATAAAAAATCGTCCACATTAAATGGATTCCTTGGGTTTTGATACGTCAAGGTATCTTTTGCATTATTGAACTGGGACGCACGAGGTAGTTCTGTGCAGTATATAGAAAACCTTCAGTGGTTTCTGTTCTGTAAACATTTAGACAAGTCACTGAGCTGCATTGAAACAAGCTAATTAATGTATTTTGATTTCTCGTAAAAGTTGGCAAGGCATTGCTGTTTTGTGGAGTTGTGTATTGACCTATTGTAAGCACTGATTCTTAAATTTACTGGTTAGTACATTCAGAACGTCTGTTTCATTTTATCATAAACCGCCACTACCAACATAATTCTTAATTATAATCAGATACCAATTGCCCAGAAGGAAACGTTGCTATTTCTTCACATATAGACCTATTTACCTACAACGCTTCTTAGTAAATCATATTCTGTACGTGATATTTTAAAAAAAGCACTAATACTGGGGAATTAAAAACTTTGAAATGATAAGGGCCGAAATATATATAGATTGAATTAATAATAAAATTATTATGATCCATTTACAACATAGGTATTAGGTGTGAATCTTAATAGCTTTTAATACCTACGTAATTAATTTTAAAATATTATTATGTGACACAAATTCTTACGAACTCATTTCAAGAGTAAATTTTCACCTACCCGGCATTTTCGGCGGTCCCAATGGGCATGTGGGAGACACTGGTTGCTGGTGCAGTTGCGGCTGCTGGAGGCGGCAGGAAGTCGGCGCGATCCAACGACGGTAACAGTAGTCCCGTGGACCCGACTGCCGCCTCGGCCGCCGTTGATGGATAGTCCTGGTTCAGCAACTCCACGGCAGCAGCTTCGGCTGTTTCTCCTGCAAAGTCCGCTGCCGTGCCTGCACCTCCTTTACTCCACGTGTAAAACACGGTAAAAACTTTTTAAAACGTTTAAACTCCGAAAAACAAAAACCAATCACTAGCACGTAATCACATTTAAAACTTATGCACAGAAACCTGCCGGTAACACAAACACACTTAATTATTAGAACAATAAGTTTAATTTCATATGTAACGCGAAAATCGAACCTGTTGTTAATTCTTTATAAGACTGTCATCACTTTTTTAAAGGTATCTACAAATAACTGGCCTTGTGTCTTGATGACAAATTATACGAAAACGGAATGCGATCGTCATATGCATCTAGAGAAAACATTGAACTTCATATCGTACACAACAAATATTACTTAAACTTTCAATCTTTTCAACAAGAGAATTGAATTACTGTATACAACGTTTTAATAACAACGTCGATGATTTCATTTTCACCGTTTCAACATAAACTGCATACGCACGAAAATATCTTTTTGGTAACAAAACTAAGCAATCTCCAACAAACATGTTTCCTTTATCACAGTTACAACGTTATGTTCTTACGATTATTTCAAGTTCTTTAATCACTTGTACTGAGTCAGGTGTAGAATTAACACTGTCCAGTACAACATACGTTCTACGTACAGATAAATTCTTCGATTTCAAAAAGAAAAGAGCGCATTTCGGTTTCCCTTTCGTTCACTGTTGTTTACTTTTAACTGACAAAAAATTCTAATGCACCTTTACACGCTAAGTACTTTTTCACATCTAAGGGGTATGTTGTTTTTCTTTTTTTTATTAAATTGGGCTCGTCGCAATGCTTTTAATAACGAAAACCGGTGAACGTTGTCGTCACTCCGTGCAACACGCGAAACCACCACGACGGCCTAAATACAACTGAGACCGACTGAATGGTTTCGCTTCGGTTGGGTAGAAGCAGTTGTCGAGGCGTTGCTTGTTGCGACGTTGCCACTTACATCGCTAGTAAAAACAGCAAAATGACAATACAGACAAGTTTTTAACATGTTTTTTTTTTTTTTTAACAGAAACTTAAAAGAACGAAAACGTACATATGCTTTACTGTTTATATACATTTTTAAGTATAGTTTGAAATACGGATTTCAAAGAATTAGAATCATTTGATAATATAAAAAGGCACATTTTCGTACAAAAACCGCGTTTTCAAGGACATGTTACGTAAGAAATCAGAAAGTTTCAAATTGAATCGACATTTTTCACATACTATAAACATATCTTGAATACAATACTTAAAGTCAAGACATTTACGTTAATATCATGCTAAAAGAAGTGCCCTTATTAGATGCTGTAGATATTTAAAACGAAAAATACGAAACTTTCTTATTAAGCACTGAAGTATCGAGTTCAAACGCCTACTTACAATGTCTTGTTTTACAACTAAAATGAAAAAAAAAGCACAGGATTTTGTTACACCTTTTTCAACAATTTAAACTGCCATTGCATTGAAGTACATCATTACAAAAATTAAACAAAATATTTTTTTAAAAGAAGAAGTAATTGAAAACATCTTCGTAAGTGTAGTTGGCGACAAAATCGGTAAAGGTACCTCCCATCAGAGACAAATTAGAGATAAATCATGATTCTCACAGATTAACCGATTAATTCAAAGATGAATTCTTGGGGTAATTGTTCCTACTTTCCGACAACGGCATTTCGCAGACCTCGTAGACTTCTCGGAATGGGATTTTTGCAATGAATGCGTTTTTTCAAAATATGTTCTATTCGTTTCAGATCCGAATTTCGTGCTGGTCACTGAAATCTTTGTATACCGACTTGGCCAAGGTATTCTGTGAGGACTCCCGCTACGTGCGGTTATACATTATCTCGCATTAGCACGAAATCCGGCCTATAAATGGAGCATATGGCACGACATAGCTTCCTAAGCAATCCCTAATGCATTGGTCATCAGACGTCAACGTCCTGCGTTCTAATAACAATAATGTCTGCCTGAGCAATAATGCAAAATGTGAGGAAACGGTTTGTCATAGAGCACAGCATAATAAAACGATCGTCACGTTCCACAGTAGTTTTTTTTTTCGGTAGAAACCTGGTCTACTGTCTGCTGGAAGTTGAAACCGTCGACATCATTGTACACCGTACTTTTCAGCAAATTTATGAATTCAGCAGCGTATCGTACATTGGTATAATCTTCAGTGAGAGTAACTGTATTAGCAACGTCTTCAGCCTGCATATTGAATATTACTGTCCGACCGAAAGTTCGGTTTCGGTTGAGTTTCGGCAAAAAAACGAGTTTCGGTTTCGGCGGCAAATCTGCTGAAACTACGACCGAAACCGAAACAGCGTTCTGGAGTTCTCGCGCTCTGCTCGGTCATGTTCGGCGCGATAAATTCCATCCAAGCGAAGTATACTATACTTACTCAAATAAACATCTCACCTAATTTAAGTATTTTTAAGGCGCAATTAAAGTATTTCCTTAAATGAGGGGTTGTTATGTTGATTTTGATTTGATTATCAATAAGTGAAAATGTCAAAGACTGCAGAGCTATGTGATTTAAAGATAAAAAAATAAAACTGACTGATTATAATAACGTTTTTTTTATTTTTCTCTCAAAGCATGATCCTTATTAGGAAGTTTCGGTTTCGGTTTCGGCCGAAACTGAGACCGTTACCGAAATTCGGTTTCGGTTTCGGTCGTAAAAACCAGTTTCGGTCGGACACTANCCGATTAAGATAAGTTACGAATCGATTAAATTATCAATTTTAAATTTTTAATAATTATTTTGAATTTTTTAAAAATTTCCGCCAATTTTGAGGCCTCTTTGCCATTGGGCGCGCAGAACTTTTGTTCTATGAGAGATATGATAAAAACTTATCAATACTTTTTTTGCGAAATGGCATTGTGCAAAACTTTTATTGAAACTTGTTTTCCATATCATTCATATTTCGCGAGATAATAGAATTTGCAATTGTTTTTGCGGATTTTCTCCCCCCTTATGCAGGGCAAATAATTTTCATTTACATATTCGTGTTCTTCATGAAATTTTCGATAAAATGACCCGTGTTTCAATCATTTTCTCAATTATAAGGTACTCTTCAGTCATTTTCTTCATTCGACTGGACTATAAGCGCCCTTGTATACGATATGAATTTTCAGTGATCGACTTATCCGGCGATTTAACCGGATGGACGTTAGACGTCAGACCCTTGCACACGATATGAGATTTAGCCCTATACTTGAGGTAAAAATGTCCCATCGGAGTTATGGTTGCCAAATGTATTGGGGATAGTCTTGGCTGATAAGTGATTTTAGTTATCGGTTATCGAAAACAAAGAAATATCGATAACTATCGATATATCCACAATTATTGATAAGTCGATATATCGACAACTATCGATATATATTTGATAATTATTGGTAGTTATCGATACGTTGATAACATTAAGCAACGGATAACTATTCACATGTATATAAGTACATAATTTTTAATTCATAGTAGATATTTTGTTTCTAAATAAATCCGTTTACCATAAGTATACAACTAATTTTTTTTGAAAGATTAGGCCGAAAATAGGATTGCGAATGATTTTACTGATGTAAAATCAACATTAATCATTTTATATCAAAAAATTTATAAACCCAATTTGTTTCTGATCTTTTACACATTGTTATAAGAAAACGAAATGGAATCCATAGTTTCTTTAGCTTTGGGTTCATCTAATAAGTGAAGTTTTTCGAAATCGTTTTCTAAGAGTTTTGGATTATATGCATTTATTAACACAATACAATATCTTGTAGTTTTCAGTTTTATACAGCTGGCGTACATCAATTGGATAGTGTTTTGCGACCTGTTTTGTCGTAATTCATAGAATTTCGTAGTTCCTTGATATAGTTAAGTGGTAATTTGGCAGATGCTGATATCAGTTTAGAACTGCAAAATTCCATGGACAATGATAATGAACCCGGAAAACAATATCGATTCAATATTTTAGACTATCCATTTCCAAGGAGTTTAGAATTTTTTAAGCTCTCTTCAGTTAAAGAATTAGAAGGCATTCATGGAGTGTTTCTTTGTTCCCTTTTTATATAAGCTTCTAATATTTTCAACTTTCATTCATTTCAAATAAATCACATCTCTGCTTATGACTTTACGCGTTATTTCCATCTTTACAACCTCTTGTTTTAACGTTGATGCTACTGTAGTAAATTGTAAAATATGAAAACATATTAGGCCACATGACCCTTATAGCAACCTGCCTGACAATTCGTATGTACAAATGCATGTGACGTCTAGTGTTTGTTTGGCCAATGTGTTATCAAATCTTTATAAGTTACATAGGTATACACGATATGTAGACATCTACATATGTAAAATGTTCAGGTTTAATAGCGCTGGAATGGGAACACCACCTAGCTGCATTCGCGCAGATCAAGTAAACGTGAGATATCAACAAGAAACTCCAAAATGATTGAGATTAGGTGCTAACCAAGAATTTAATGTTCCTTTTTAAATTACTTAAATGATTTTAATTTGGCACAGCATCTTAAACTTTTAAACAATCTGCTTGGAATCTTTTCCATTTTGCAAGCCATTTTATTCGAGATGAATATGAGAGTGAGATACATCAGTGGAATTTGGCGTATTAAACATAGGGAAAAATGTGGTAAATTGAGCGAATTCCATTGTGCAGAATCGCAACGACCGGCATCTATCTGCATATAAAATAATTTGAGCGAAAGCAGGTTAAGGTTGGCTTGACCACAATATAATTACGTACATCGAGATTGCATTTCCAGGGTTACACCAGCATTTATTGCAGCTGAAAATTTTAATACAGAGCAGAACGTTTGTTTTCCGCTTCATTTTTGCCCTAGTTTTCGGACTCGCAGTTCGTGCTTAAATTAACAATACTTCTCTTGTTCTGCTCTGCTGTTATACAATAATACGATAGGGAGCTAGCAAACAAATGACAATTTCTCACATAACGTTCGCTTTTTATTATTTTTTCATTCATGAATAATAATTAATCTGTTGAGTAATTACCATAGTCAAACTTCTGTCGTGTTGTCTTTTCCTGCTGCAACGATCTGATCCTAACGTAATAGCTGTTTTTGCTATTTTCTTTGATATAATTATTTGGTGTATTGCTACACTTCCTCTTTCGATCATGCTAGTGTAGTGCAGGTGGCATGTAGGATCCTGTCTTCAAGAATATCTATAGATATGTTTTAAGATTATGTGACTGGCACATTTGTATGTCATGGTTTTATGAAAATCAAAATTCTTGATTAGCAATCGCGAGAAACACTTTCCTTATTGTAAGAATTACCTGTTGATATTTACTGAATTATTGATATATACGCAGTTTTTGAGGGACTTTTCAATTGACCTGTTATATGTTGCAATCAAGATTGAAGTGCAATAAGTTATTAATGGCATCTGGTCTAAACTCGAACCATAATAGTCCAGTCAAATGAAGGAAATGGCTGAAGAGTACCTTATAATGGACAAAATGATTGAAACACGGGTCATTTTATGGGAAATTTCGTGAGTAACACGAATATGTAAATGAAAATTATTTGCCCTGCATAGGGAGGGAGAAAATCCGCAAAAACAACTGCGAATTCAATTATCTCGCGAAATATGAAAGATATGGAAAAAAGTTTCAGTAAAAGTTTTTCACAACACGAATATGTAAATAAAAACTATTTGCCCAGCATAGAAAATCAGCAAAAACAATTGCAAATTCTATTATCTCGCGAAATATGAAAGATATGGAAAAACGTTTCAATAAAAGTTTTTCACAATGCCATTTTGCAAAAAAAAGTACTGATGACTTTTTTTCATATCTCTCACGCTTCCTTTGTAAATAAACATAATGCAAATGAATGGA